CAGGGCAGTCTGTTGTTTATTTGTTTGTTTGTTTGTTGACAGCGTTTGGAGCGGTGTTGCAAGGCAGTCTGTTGTTTATTTGTTTATTTGTTTATTTGTTTGTTTGTTTGTTTGTTGACAGCGTTCGGAGCGGTGTTGTAGGGCAGTCTGTTGTTTATTTGTTTGTTGACAGCGTTTGGAGCGGTGTTGCAGGGCAGTCTGTTGTTTATTTGTTTATTTGTTTGTTTGTTTGTTGACAGCGTTCGGAGCGGTGTTGCAGGGCAGTCTGTTGTTTGTTTGTTTATTTGTTTGTTTGTTGACAGCGTTCGGAGCGGTGTTGCAGGGCAGTCTGTTGTTTGTTTGTTTATTTGTTTGTTTGTTTGTTGACAGCGTTCGGAGCGGTGTTGCAGGGCAGTTTGTTGTTTATTTGTTTGTTTGTTTGTTGACAGCGTTCGGAGCGGTGTTGCAGGGCAGTCTGTTGTTTGTTTATTTATTTGTTTGTTTGTTTGTTGACAGCGTTCGGAGCAGTGTTGCAGGGCAGTCTCTTTGGGATGGCAGGTTTGCTCCCGGCTTCGTACACCACGCCCATCATGAGCGGCCAGGGGATGGCAGGGAGCTTCGCCGCCTTCGCCATGATCTGCGCCATCGCAAGTATTTCAGAATAAAACACCAAAATAAAACATCATCTGTGGCTCAGGGGGTCAGTGACTGTCTCTTACTGATGGGCCGGTTCGATCCCTCTCTCTCAGGTGGGTCTGATCTGCAGGATGCAGCCTTTGGATATTTCATCACAGCCTGTGTTGTTATCTTTCTGTCCATCCTCTCCTACATCCTGCTGCCCAAACTGGTACGCACTTATCCAATCAAATAAATAAACGGTGTCATCGTCAGAGTGCTTTTAATATATTCATATATGTATTTAATATTTCCTGTTTCATGTTTTCAGGAGTTCTTCCAGTTTTATCAGGAGAAGAACCGGGAACAGAACCCGGAGAACTCAGTGAAGCTGATGAACCCAGGTACTCTGTTTACTCTGTATAATACTAATAATAGAAACATTAATAATAATAATAACAATATTTCTGTCCCCGTCAGAGAGCGATGGAAAGTCAGCTGATCAGAGCGGCCAACAGGACGTCTCCATAATAAAGATCTTTAAGAAGGTCAGAAACAAAGAGCCTTAGAGCCACAGGATGTCTGCGATCTGAGAATAAAGTCACAATTCTCAAAATGGAATCTGAATTTTGATTTGATTTATTGAGAAATTAGCAAAAGAAATTAGAGAAAAAATCTAAAGAATCTTTTCATTAAAATAAAGTTTAAACTGTTCCTCACAATTCTGACTTCATTTAAAAAGATTCTTTTTCAGAATTTTTAAACAAAAGACAGAATTTTGTTTCAGTTTTTTTTTGTAGACTTTGCTTTATTCTCAGAATGCAGATTTATTTCTGAAAATAAAGACAGAATCTTAAAAAAAAATTCCAGAGATGTTTTTTTTCAGAAATCTGAAGTTAAAGTCAGAATTTTGACTTCATTCTAAAAATTCTGAGAAAAGTGTGAATTATTATTTTTTTTAATATCTAAAATAACACATTTAGTCTGATATAACATAGTGATGTAACGGTGACCTCTGACCTCAGATCTGGCTGCTGGCTCTCTCCGTGTGCTTCACCTTCACCGTCACCATCGGCACGTTCCCCGCCATCACGGCCGACACCAAGTCCACGCTGGCCAGGGGGTCCTGGGGGTCCTGGGGTCAGTCTCTTCTTCTGTGGTGTCTCATGAGTTCATCACGCTGCCTGTGATTGGTCGGCTGGCTCTGAGTCATCCAGGGTTCCTCCTCTTTAAAACAGGCACTTTTAGACTCTGATGTAATGAACTGTCCCAGTTAAATGTTGTAATATCAACAGAACTTTAACGTTTGATGGTTTCTGATGCTGGAAGTCGTATTCGTCCGTCACAAGTTATTTAAAGAGACAAGAATAATATGGTGTTCCTTCCTCAGAGCGATACTTCATCCCCGCCAGCTGCTTCCTCCTCTTCAACCTGAGCGACTGGGCCGGACGCAGCCTGACCGCCTTCTGCATGTGGGTGAGTCCTGAACCCTGACATCACTTCCTGTCCCCTGGTCTGGAGGTCAATGGTTACTGACTGTGTTTTTGGTTGTTATCCATAAATAAGGTCTGTGGTTAAAGCGAAGTCATGTGACCGTGCTGTAGTTCCTTTATAGCCCAACATTAGCCTCCTTTAGCTTAGCGGTGGTGACGTGAAGTCATGTGACCGTGCTGTAGTTCCTTTATAGCCCAACATTAGCCTCCTTTAGCTTAGCGGTGGTGATGTGAAGTCATGTGACCGTGCTGTAGTTCCTTTATAGCCCAACATTAGCCACCTTTAGCTTAGCGGTGGTGATGTGAAGTCATGTGACCGTGCTGTAGTTCCTTTATAGCCCAACATTAGCCTCCTTTAGCTTAGCGGTGGTGATGTGAAGTCATGTGACCGTGCTGTAGTTCCTTTATAGTCCAACATTAGCCTCCTTTAGCTTAGCGGTGGT